AGGCTTTAGAGGCTGGATTAACCCTCAGTGTAAACATAGCAGTTTCTCTGAAACTGCTATGTTTATTTTAAAAAAGGGTTGATCCTATCTGGACATGGCACCCAGACCACTTCATTAAGCTAAAGTGGTCCTTTAAATATATGAGTGTTTTAACAGTAAGCAACACCATGTGAAAATGTACAAAAAAAATTGGGGGGGGAACGTGGGGTTCATCTATGTGGTGTTTCAGTTTGACAAATTTCATCCATATGCAATCATTTAAAGAAATAATATTTATATATTATACATTTATTTAACTACAGTATATAATGTATCAATATAGATCTGTTTACTGTTCCTGCTCTTTTGCCTCTATTGTTCACTTCTCACTTAATCTGTGAATAAAATCATAATTTAGTGTCTGTCCCCTAACCATCAATATTTTATTTTCCCAATCAATCATCATGTTAGTATCTTTAATTCATGATTTGTCCATTTGGTGACTCGCAGTTCAGGATTTCCAAGTATACGTATTATTAAACATGCAAACATATTTTTTTTAAAGTGACATTCCAAGCAATTTAGTGGGTCCTTATTAAAATTGTTGATTTAAATGACATTTGGCACGTTTTTATATTAACCTTGTTACACCTTCTTGGCTGACAAACTCGAGAGACAAGCAAATGCACCGAACAACTGCATTGCAAAGACTTCTTAATAGATTGTAATTCAGCTTACTGAGAGAAGTCTGTGATTGGACAGTAACAGATATTTATGCTGGCAAAGAATGAGAGGGCTTCCAATAGCTACAGATACTACATATGCAACTATTGCAGGTGAAGATTTCCTATACTGCCAAATGAAACATGCAATGCAAGTGACATGTATATTTTTGAGGGGTTATCTCTACTAATTTTTTTTTTTTAATGAAGTGTTCATTTAACATACACAAACATAACTTTGTGTAATCATTTTCTGTAGAATTCACATAATTCTATTTTCTTTGGAATAAAAGTGAAAAGGAAGACAGTGATGTTTATTCTAATCGCTAAGCAACAAATTTAAGTGAATTAAAAAATAAAATTGCAAAATGTAGGCATAAAATTGCCAAGCTTATTTAATACCAGATATTTTTGCCTTAGTTTTGCAATTCAAATTTAATTTGCAAGAATCCATTATTTAATTAATAAACCTCAGTTGTTGATTTTTTATTTCAGATCAGTTATGACCACTATCTCCACCTAAATGAGAAAAAAAAAATAGTCTGCTAGCAATTAAACTAGTATGTCAGCAGCTGAGGGTTAACCAGCATGGATCACAGCATATAAGGATTAGTTAACATGCATCACTGGTTCGAGTTTACCAATGTTGCTCACAATGGGTGAGTTATCAACTAGACTTGTTCATTAAGTCTTTTCGGTTGATACGAATGATTTAAATTCCTTTTAATGTACGCCCTAATTTACTCAACAGGTAAATCCCAGACAGATCGACTCATTCGGTCATAGATTAAAAGGAATTTGATTTATTCAGACTATCAGAAAAAAAAAAATCATCAACATGCTGTGCTCAAGCTACAGTGCAACTACAATTCTTCTCCCTACTTTATAACTATTCTGCAAAACTGCGTTGCTTACCCCTGAATTAGATTCACTTAAACTGGGAGTGATGAATGGGTTTATTTTGTAAAATATTGTAAGCAATGCTGAAACCACAAAACGCTTAGCGAAACGAAAAGATCAATGAATTAAATAACAATGCATTGGGCCAAGCACAGATACTTACTTTATACCACTGGTGTTTCCCCAAGGAAAAAAAAATCAATTAAAATGTCCCTCGAGTTCAGACCAGAGACCACTGGAGGCACAGCAGAAATTAATTTTAAATGCCTGAACAAATCACATTAAACTGCAGGTGGGACTGTGAAACAATAAACGAAACTCAAATAAAATGAACATACTTTTCCACATTTAACAATACACAGCATGAGAAAATCTCCCGTCTTGCCTCTATAGAATATATCACTGGGGAGTTGTTGTTTTTTTAATTCCCACGTAAAATTAGCAACTTTACATGACTGTGCTGCAAATACTAAAAAAAAAGGAAAAAGAAATGTATGGATATTTGGTGTTTGTATAAATAAATTCTTAAGTCCACTTTTCTTCTATATTACTATTAAGGCATAAGGATCCTGTATGTGTGGTGCAAATTATGGAGGTCCAAGTACAACAGACATTAGCTATTGATTATGTTTGATCCTAGAAAAATAGATTAAAGGGAATCTTTAATTGTCAATGAAGTGGTCTGAGTTCTATGTCCCTCTGTATTTCTGCACTGCAGGGTTAAACTGCCTCTAGTGGCTGTCATACTGCGTAAAACTCCACTATTTCGATCAAATGATCTCAGAAAGTCCATCTGACTGGCGAAGCAATGTGTTTTGCTGCGCATGTGCACAAGCCTCCCAATGCTTTCCAATGGGAAAGCATTAGATTGGCTGAGATCATCTATCTCGATGATCTTAGCCAAAGAGCAAGAGAAGGACTTTGGAGACCAGAGCAGAGAAGGAGACAAGGTAAGTAAAATCATCTTCTTGACCATGGCAACAGGGGCCCGGTCACTGGGGTACTATAGCATTAGGAATACACATTTCCTTTCATTAGAGAACTAGTGACCAATAAAAGACCACCTAGATTTAATAAACGGGGTCATAGATACCAGTGAATACTGTCTCAGGGAAGATATGCAGATGAATAGCTGTGAATGCAAAGATAGGTTTTGATCATTAGCCTTAAAGGGGGTCACAGCCAGGCAGCAAAATACTTCGTCATGTCATTCTTCTCCATTTACAGAAAACTGCATGTCGATTTAGAGTTAAAGGGTTTCATGTGATATTCCACTGCAGCAATGGGACCAGAACAAACCCCCCAAAAATTCAAAGGAAGTCATAAATCAGATGTACTTCTAAAATGACGACTTGCTTTACACGAGTGGTGGAATTAGGGGGTCCATCGTGCAGTAATGCTTGGTGGTGTCTGACATCGGTCACCTCACCCTGTCTCACTTCATTCTCAGCATGGAAAGGTTCTACTTGCTCACCTCTAGCTATAAGTACTTGATGTCACTAATGTTGACTGGGAGAAGAGAGTCACCCTTCCAGACCCTAAACTCATAGCATAACAAACGTCACCCTCCCAATCGCATTTTACAGGAGTGATGCAAGAATTGCTGCATTACAAGTAAGAAGGGTCAATATAGATATATAGATGAAAGTCAGGATTACCTGCTTAGTGATACCATACAGAACGTATATGTATGCTGTTCCTCTGAGCTGTACCTTTTAGGTGGTGGATTTAGTTCTACTTCCCGCTACTATGACACAAAACACTTATGCACCTGGTTTGGCCAAGATCCAGGTGGCTGTTCTAATATCAATGTAATTGAGCAACGCAGAAGGGTTGCAAATAAATATATCAAGACAGAGACCAGGTGCTAACGTTCCCTGCCCAGTTCTGCTGTTTTAGACCTGAGATCATTTCGGCAATTATCTGATGTTATTAGTCCGGACTTAGTGGATAAAATATTTATGAGAATCTATCAAAAAGGAGCAAAGTGAACATGTTGCATTGTTAGTCAATTAAAAGATATAAAAAAATGGTTGTGAATTTCAGGGGCGATTTTAAAATTCACAGTAAAGAAGATTGGGCATATTGCTGCAGTGATATTTTGGCAATTACTGCAACTGCAAATTATATGCAACAGGGTAAAGGGATATCGTTGACCATTTTGCACTGTTACCTATACAAATTGCACAGATAGTTATGGTGCGATTGATTAAGTCGTGAATATTTAAAAATATTAAAACAAAAAATAAACAAAGAAAATTTTACTATGCTTGTCTGAAATACAAAAAAAAATAGATATGGTGCTATTTATCCAACTTGGAAATGTCATTACTTTAAGCTATTTATTTTATTTAAATATCTTTTTTATAGTCAACCTATCTGTCATTATCCTTCAGTGTTTCTTTATGGTTAAGCATTTTGCTATCTGGACCAAGTCACTATGAATATTTAATCGGTAATGTGTAAGATTTCAATTTCAAAAATGTAGAGAAACTTTGCCCTCATGCAATGCCCACATCTGATTACTTGCAAAAAATGTAATTAAAAATTGTTATTTTGTGTGTTTGTGGCATGGGCTGGAACAGATTTCAGAATTGGAGAACACTGCGCACATTAATTTCCTCATCAACAGATTGATTTTTACTTCAAATGGCAGCTGCTGTCCAAAATTCAACTGATTTAATGATGATTTGGATTGTTCCCTAATGTGCTACGCTGAGCCTTTAAAATTGAAAGAGTATTTTAAATTATCATCAGGCTTCCGAAAAATGCATTTTCATGATGACATGTGGGTCAGGCATCAGGATCCTGTGAGCTTTCATATCTCATACCATTCTCTTATCTTGTGCTGACAATATCTGCATCAGAAAAATTCACACAATAATAACGAATTGGCACAAATAAAAAAAATAGACAAGAGAACTCTCCCGAAATAGTATCCATTGTCTGCAACTAAGTTTATAGATTCTATATTAGAAAATGCAAAGATTGATATTTAACTCATTTCTTTATTTCTAAATAATATATGTTATTTTCTGAGCATGTAGCTAATGTTTTAGATGTAACTTCTATATATGAATGGCACCATTGGTGTACACACAATACATGGGGCCCCGGTGCGAAACAGATCCGTGGGCCCCCTCTACCCCCCCGACACATACACATAGACACATACATACAGACAGACACATACACACAGACACATACATACATACACATACACACACAGACAGACATATACATACACACACACATACACACATACAGACAGACACACATATACACACCCCCGATAAACATACACACAGACACAAACACAGACACACACACACATACAGAGACACACACATACAGTCTGTATGTATGTGTCTGTATGTGTGTCTGTCTGTATGTATGTGTCTGTGTGCGTCTCTGTATGCATGTGTCTGTATGTGTGTGTGTCTCTGTATGTATGTGTCTGTATGATACAGACACATACATACAGAGACACACACACAGACACATACATACAGAGACACACAGACACATACAGAGACTCACACAGACACATACATACAGACACACACACACATACAGACACTTACATACAGACATACACACACAAAATGTTTAAGTCACCCTCCTGTTTCTTACCTTTTGCAGGAGAGTGACTTTCCTTGGGGTCCAGTGGGAGCTCACCGTAATGGGAATCAGAGTTCCCACTCTGACACCCTTCCCCCTTCTCCCACGTGGCTCTGTCAGATAGCTGGGAGGAGTAACCGGGGCAGTCATTTCCTCCTAGCTCTGTCTGACATCATCTCAGGGGGCCCGTTCGCGCTTTTAAAGCGCCCAGCGCTGACCGGACCCCCTGAAAATCCATCTCCATCTGACAGCATGGCCAACCCAATGGACCCCTTTATGTGCAGCCCTGGCAGTTTGTCGCGCGGGCCGGGGCCGTAGAAGATGGCGGCGGGTACCCAGTTGCAGGGGTCCACAGGGCGGACCACTACCCAGCAAACCCAAAGTAAGTCTTGCATATAGGCATTATAACACACAGATAGAGCTTTATTTTTCAACGGACTAGGACAGCAGCGGTAAAATATTCTATTCAACCATACTTGTGCATTTGCACATACCTTCCACTTTAAGTTAAAAACATATGTTCAGTTATAGGTAATAGAATATACCTTTGGGAGACATTGAGAAGGAGACAAAAGGAAGAATTTCACCACTCTTACCCACCTGGGAGATATGGGTAATACCCCTTGTTGTCCATGATGTCACTGAGAGGTCTGGGTCTAACACCTGCAGGTCCATTATAGATAATAAGTTTAACTATATGTATAGTGCCAGTCTTATGGTTTTCCTCTTCAACACCCACATTATTTAAAAAAAAATTCAGTAGTACAGGACAGACCCTGGTATATTATTTTTTTTATCATACGCGGAAGTTCTGCCGTGATTAGACAAGTCTGTAAATACAAGCAGCAATTCAAGTTCACTAGAATCCTCCAAATAGTGAAACCTGGTAATTAAATTGTCCTTAAAAGTTCTAAAAAACATGACATTACCACGCATTGCAAAGCACAAAACCCCTGATTTCATGCCGTTTCCTGTTTATTTTTAAATTATGTGAAATTACTTTGCAGTTTTTTGAGTATGCTAAGGAAAAAGCAAGTTTAAATTCAACACTTAATCTATTCATTATTATGTGTCACGATTCTTAACATAATGCAAATTTATCAGGCTAAAACAGCCGCGAGAAATTGTGAAATAATTCTGTAAAGTGTTACACAAAGCAAGCAGGCAGTTGTGATGAGCTGAGAAACAATTCACAAACTTTAGCCAAAAATATGAGTTTGAAAAATCTCTAATTAAGCTGAATGAACTAAACTTTGTATGCTGGCTGGCAAATCACCACAATTCACTGATCAGTGAATAGAGACTTTAAAAATAAATAAAAAAATGATTTGCTAATTAACATAATTATCACGCCAATAAAACTAAAGGAAATCTTTAAGCACCATAACCACAACATCACACTGTAGTGGTTACAGTGCCATGAGTACTACAGTACCATGAGTGCATTTCAAAGTAAGTAATGAATCAATTTTGTGATAGATTTCCAACTTACTTTGGGTTTGCTGGGTAGTGGTCCGCCCTGTGGACCCCTGCGACTGGGTACCCGCAGCCATCTTCTACGGCCCCAGCCCGCGCGACAAACCGCCGGGGCTGCACATATAGGGGTCCATTGGGTTGGCCATGCTGTCAGGGCCACCCGATGGAGATGGATTTTCAGGGGGCTCGGTCAGCGCTGGGCGCTTTAAAAGCGCGAACGGGCCCCCTGAAAATCCATCTCCATCCAGCTCTATCTGTGTGTTATAATGCCTATATGCAAGACTTACAAAACACGAAAACTCAAAAACTGAGATTCATGCTGCTGTAGGAAAGAGATTGTGATGTATGTCTAACTACTGATGAGTGGATTGGGTTGCTCAATGGCCTAAAAGGTAGTACGTGGTCTTATAACCACATAGAGGGACACCGCAAGTTCATATACAGGTGCTATTTCACTCCAGACAAGTTGTAAAATATTTCTGCTTCCTCTTTTTGAATTGCTGGAGGTACCAACAAAGGGGCACAAAACTTCATATCTGGTGGACCTGCCCACAGATACGCCCTCTCTGGGCACAACTTCAAACCTTGATCACAACAACTGCAGTAGCATTTTCTTGCCACCAATACCGGCAACATCTACGTGTTTGATCGTCCCACCACTCCTCTCCTTTTATCAGAGAGCCATGGCAACACATGTTATATTGATAGCAAAACACCTAATCATCCTAAATTGAAAGAGCCACAAAATTCCTACTATAAGAGAACTAAAAGATAGGATGCAAACTAATTGAATGTATGAGTTTATGGCCAGATTTCCGATATATAGGAGACCTCCTAGCAAAATTGCATCTGATCCACTCAAATAAGACTACCCCTGAATTTTATGAAAGGGATTCTTGAGCTTATATGGGGAGACTGGATGGGGTGGAACATATTAATATTAATTATCATTTGATTGTTCCGATCTGGTTATTCCCATGTGTGTTGGCAGGCCCAGAGTAACCGTTAGGCAAACTAAGCATACGCCAAGGGTGCAGGCCTGCTGGGGGTGCCCACCAGGATATTTCCTAGTGGTCTCCCCCTGTCTTGGGCCACAGCGCTGGGCGAGCGCAAAGGTCCAATCCTCAAGGCGCCCGAAAATGGGGGCGCTGAGAAGAGCCCTGTTACAGGGGGGTCAGGAGGTGGCTATCTGGCCACCTCAGGGCGCCCCATAATTAGTCCGTCAGTATGGCAGAGCAGGTGCCCTCTTACCTTGATGGCAGGTGCCTGCTCTGCCAACAAATGCCGGTGACTGGAGGAGAGGGGGACAGGAGGCAGGTGGCTGTATTGTGGGCAGTGAGGGAGGCTGTTATTGCAGCTTCCCACTCCTTCCTTGCATGCCTTCTGTGATGCCGGGAGCCAGAATTATGTCATTCTGGCCCGGCATACTAAACAGCGGGTGTGTGGAGTGAGAAGCTGCCCCAAACTGGACCCCAGGGAGGTAGGGAGGTAGGGAGGCTGGATGGGCCTCAAAAAATAGATTGTGTGAGTCTGTGGGTCAGTGATTGAAGTGTTTGACTGTCAATGAGTGTCTGTGTGTGTATGTGTGTGTCTGTCAGTGTGTGTCTGTCAGTGTGTCTGCCTGTGTGTGTGTGTGTGTCTGTCAGTGAGTGTTTGTATGTCAGTAAGTGTCTGTCTGTTTGTGTGTCTGTCTGTCAGTGAGTGTATGTCTGTCATTGAGTGTGTGTGTGTGTCTGTCTGTCTGTCAGTGAGTGAGTATATGTATGTCAGTGAATGTGTGTGTTTGTGTGTGTGTGTGTTTGTGTGTGTCAGTAAAAGAGTGTATGTATGTCAGCGAGTGTCTGTCTGTCTGTGCGTGTGTCTGTCTGTGAGTGTCTATCAGTGAGTAAGTGTATGTCTGTCATTGAGTGTCTGTGCATGTGTGTCTGTCAATAAGTGAGTGTATGTCTATCAGTGAGTGTGTGTCTGTCAGTGAGTGTGTTTGTCTGCCTGTGAGTGAGTGACATGAGGGGGCGGCAAAATTGATCTTTGCCTGGGGTGCCAGAAATCCTTGCACCGGCCCTGTGTGTTGGCTATACATATATAGCATAGTATTTATATTGGCAAAATATCATGACTGTGTGCACCATGCATTATATTTCTTGTTCTGTTCTTTTTCTGTTTTGAAGAAAAATCTGTAAGTTGTAATTGGAAAAGAAAAAAACATATCAAAATCATGATATGTTTTAAAGGTAACTATCATTTCACAAGATTTTTTATTTTGTGTTTACGTATCCCCCATGCTTAACAAACATCCATTTGTGATGTTTGAATAATAAAATAAAATATATAAATATGTACTATCATATGGTAACTGTGAGACTCCATCTTGGCTCCCTGTGATTGACAGTTATAAGTTCTGCCTTTGTACCTGTAAGTTGCAAAGACAAAGCATAGACAGAGAAGAAGAAACAGTAACATACATACATAACATTCTATTTCCCAGGCGGCGTACAGAGCTGTGATGATACTGAAACCAGATACTCTAAGAAGTCAGTTTAAAGATTCCCTATTTGTACTGAGTGTAGCCAGTGGGTCCATTTTGCACTTGTTGGTTGCAATTATTTATAAAAATGTCAAAAAAATAAATATACACACTGCACACACCAAGCCATTAACCTGGCACTGAAAGTAAGAGTAAAATGAATTAAATGATACATCCAGAGTATTTGATTATTAATTGTAACTAGTTATTGTAATTGGAGAGAAATTATCTTTCTCTATTGCAAATAATTAATAAAAAGAAAATATGGGATCCATTGAACCTCACTAAAACCAGGTATGAATTTATTAAGTGGCGGCAACAATTTCCACCAGTCCTGTGTTTTAGAATCCTCCTGAAAAGGGGCCAGGAGATGCCCATTATCCTGGGACATTATTGTTCCCCTGAAAGGCTCCATGCAGCACTTAAAAGGTTAGTTGTTGGGGCGCTGATAGCCTATTAAGACACAGTCCTGTTTTCACCTACCATTGCATTTAGGCCACAAATAGGGTTTTTGGAGCCTATGAAACTGCAACAACGTTTAGTAAATGTGCAGCTCCTTTGGTTTCATAGGGAGTGTTCCAGTCTCAACCTTTTAATAACTAGCATTTTAGAGAAATATCGCTAGTTAGTAAATTCAATTTTTGGAGTAACTTGGCCACCACATCAGCTCTACCAATATCGTTCTCTAGTAAATCAATGTGTGTTTCAATTTTCAGTCCTTCAAAGCACAGTGTGCCCTGGTTGTGCAATGACTGAACTGGAATGTGATGTCAAAATAATGGCCATACTTATAAAATAAAATGGTGCATGTTTTATACAATGGTTTAATTTTCAGAGAAGTGACATATCTCCTCTACATTTTTATAAAGAAAGTATTACCTTAATGCTAGTGTAGCA